TATAAAATCATTTTAATACCTTTGTGGTATAAGTTTCTTGATGCATAAAATTTCATCCTTTACATATTCAAGTTGTAATCAAAGACAAAACTTTGTCCTTCCAAGGTCTTTTATTTCAAATTCTTTCTTTAAGCAATTTACTATTTTTGAAATCTCTTTAGGAATTTTAATGATGTTTAAATCATCAACATAAACAGCAATTATTACAAATCCATTATAAGATCTTTTTATAAAAATGCATAGACAAATAAGGTCATTTTTACATCCTTACTTCAACAAATATTCGCTAAGGCGATTATATCACATGCATCCAGATTGTTTCAATCCATAAAGTGATTTATTCAACTTGATTGAATAACCTTCTCTAGAATTTGAATTGTATACATCTGACAAAGTAAAACCTTTAGGGAGTTTCATATAAATGTCATTATCAAGTGAACCATATAAATAGGCTGTAACAATATCTATTAATTGCAAATCAAGCCCTTCATTTACTGCTAAACTGACTAAGAATCAAAAAGTATTTGCAACCACTACAGGTGAATATATTTGTTCAAAATCAATACTAGGTCTTTGCAAAAAAAACCTTAGGCAACAAGTCATGCTTTATATCTCACAATTTCACCTTTTTCATTTCATTTTCGCACAAAAACCCATTTATATCCAATTGGCTTTACATCTTCAGGTGTACGAACTATAGGTTCAAAAACTTGTAGTTTTGCAAGCAACTATAATTCTGCCTCAATTGCAACTTTTCATTTTTTTCAGACACTTCTTTGTCTATACTCATTGACTAATTTTGGTTCATGATCCTCTATATCAATTATCACATCTAATGCTATATTAAATGAAAAAATATCACCAATATTGACTTCATTTCGGTTTCATTGTATTCTATTCATAACATAATTTGTTGAGATCTCTTTATTTTCATCATTTTCAGGTACCTATGTTTCTTTGGGAACTAAAATAGTAATTATGTCTGATGACTCTTCTGGAGTCTTTACATCCTCATTTTGGTCGTTTTGATTCTTAATTCCTTTTCTTTTTTGAGAATTTTTATCTTTGGAACCAAAAGGTCTACCACGCTTCATACGTGATTCAAATTGATTTGCAACATTAGATTGTCTAATTGAAACATTAATTTTGATTGGAGTATCAGCAGCCGACACATATGATTTAATCACTGCTTTTGGATTTGTAAACATGTTTGGTAGTTGGTTGGCTAAACCCTACAAATGAATTATCTTTTGAACTTCCAATTTACACTGTTTTGTTTGAGGGTCAAGATGAGATAAAGATAATTCATTCTAACTTATCTCTTTTTGCAAATACTTCTTTTCTCCCCTTAAAGTAGGGAAAAGTGATTCATCAAAATGACAATCAGCAAATCAAGCAGTAAATAAATCCCCTGTCATTGGCTCAAGGTACTTTATTATAGATAAAGATTCATAGCCAACATATATTCTCAACCTTCTTTGAGAACTCATCTTAGTGCGTTGTGGTGGAGCAATAGGAACATACATTGCACATCTATAAATTTTAAGATGAGAAATATTTGGTTGTTAACCAAAAACTAATTGCAAAGGGGATAATGTATGATAGCTCATTAGTTTGATGTAAATAAGTGTTACAACATGCAAGATTGCATGTCCTCAAGTAGAAATTGAAAGTTTTGATCTCATTAGTAATGGTCTTGCAATTAATTTTAGACGTTTAATCAATGATTCAACAAGTCTATTTTGAGTATGTACATGTGCTATAGGATGCTTAATATCAATCCCAATAAACATACAATAATCATTAAAAGCTCGAGATGTAAATTCACCAGTATTATCAAGGCGTGTTTTCTTAATTGAATAATCAGGAAAATGAGCTCTTAAACGAATTATTTGTGCAAGTAATCTTGCAAACACCTGGTTGCGAGTTAACAACAAATAAATATGTGACCATCTTGTTGATGCATCAATTAAAACCATAAAATATTTAAATGATCCACATGATGGGTGTATTGGTCCATAAATATCACATTGTATACATTCTAAAAATATGATAGATTCATTTCCAATTTTAGCTGGTGATGATTGACTAATTAGCTTTTCTTGGGAACAACAAGCAACACATGAGAAATTATTTGATTGAAGAATCTGTTGGCTCTTCAATGAATGTCCACATGAATTGTTAATTATTTTTCGCATTATGATTAATCCAGGATAGCCTAATCATTCATGCCGAATAAAAAAAATTATCATGATTTGTAAACTTCTAGTTTACAATAATGTATATTTCAATTATATTTATATGTGTGTAATATAAACCAGAAGAAAAAGAAGGTAATTTTTCTAACACACATTTTTTATTTGAGATAATCTTTGTGATATACATGTATTATTCTCTTCCTTCATTTGTTGTTTCAACATGATATCCATTTTTACGGATATCTTTAAACTTAATAAGTTTTTGTGAGACTTAGTGAGGTATAAAGCACTAACAATGTGTAATTTTGTTCCACCAAGCAACAATATATTAGCTCTACCAAAGCCTTTAATAATCTTTGTACTACCAAATATAGTATTCACATTAACTTGTTCCATTACTAGATGAGAAAACTAATTTTTATTTATTGAGAATTATGTGAGTTGTTGCACTATCAACAAGACATATGTCTTTATTATTGGTGTCGTCCATAAGAACATTCATTTTTCATTATTAAAAAATAAATAATAAAAAACTAAATTAGATACTAAAAAAATGGTAAAAATTATTATTTTTATTCTTTATTTACACTGACTATATTAAAATTTAATTTAAATAACAACTATATCAATGAAAAAAATAACTATAATACATGACAATTTATTTAATCATTACTATTTTTTTTAAAGAGAAAAATATATATTAAACATACATTAACATATAGAAAAAAAAAACATAATAACTCAATAATAAAAAATAATAATAATAAACTTATTTTGAATACTACTATATGATCATAAATAAAATCATTAACAAAAATAATAATAGATCACTAATGAGATGGTCATTTTTTTTTTTATCTTGATCAACAAAATGATTAGTAATATCTAAGTGGGTAACATTCATATGATCATAAAATTCTTATTATTTTCACAAATAAAATTTATCTCTATCTTTTTCCCTTATTTTTAAGTGATTCTTGACAAAGATCAATAAGATGCTTTGGTATACGACAAATACATGATCAATGACCTTTGCTTCCACAACGCATATGTTTTTCATATTTTTACCACTTTGGGTACCTTTACCCTTTTTAATTTTTTTCACTATTTTTCCACTTCTGGTGTGAAAAATGTATATTTCTGATTATCACAACGACCATGTTCGTAACCATTACCACGATAATAAGTTTGTGCATAGTTACAATGGTTACGAGTAGTTACATTCACTTCTGGGAATTGAGTAATGTCAATTAGACGAGGTTCATTATTTTTATCAAAACCTCATTATTTTATTCAGCCACAAGAAAACAAGAATAAATTCAGAATATTTTTGAATCATTTCTCATGATATTGCTGCTGCAGGAGCACGTGCCTGAAAAGTTGATTATATTTTTTCTTCTAACGTATACTCATCAAAAACCTTTTCTCCACACAATTTTAATTGAAATTAAAATAAATAAATAATGATATATTTCTATAAGAAAAATAAAAATGAAATAATATCGTACCTTTATTCAATAATGTTCCTTTCTTAAAAAAGTGTGTACTAGAGTCTCATGCTTTATTCAATAATGTTTCTTTCTTGAAGAAGTGTTTCCTAGAGCCTCTTACTGATAACCTGTTATGAAATGAATGTAAATTTATAAGGAGTAAGTGAGAAAATAGAGAGAGTAATATAGAGAGGAAGAGAGAATCTCAATTTCATTTCACATATATCCTCAATATAAATGAAACACTTATTTATATGCCTAAATCTATAACCGAATAATCTCACTTCTTTGAATAAGAATTAAACAAAACTGTTACAAAATCGTAAGTTACAAAGAATAAGAAAGAGTTATGAATATGAACATTCACTCGTATAATAATTTATAACATTAACAAATTTATTAAATACATCAAGCAATTCAACTTAAATAAAAATATTTTTTATTTATCAAAACTTAAATCTTTTATCTTTTAAAGAAATTACTTTAACAAACTATATTTAACTTCCTTAATTATTATCTTTATCTTTTTTTAATTACTATTATTATTATCATCATCATTTATTTTCTTATTTGATTACTATAGTTAACAATATATAATAAGAAAAGACATATTTTATTGATATTTGAATGTTAGATCTCTAAACTAAAATTGAAAAAAATCAAACCAAAATGAAAAAAAAATTAGAGTATAAAAATAAAATAAAATTGAAAGATTAAACTGAAATAAAAAAATAAAAAATCAAACTACTATTTTTTAATTATTTACTTTTAATTTATATACATAAAATTTTAAATAACATTTTTATGTAAGCAATTTTTTTTTTTGTAATTTAAAATTTTTACAAATAAAGATAAAATATTTTGTGTTTTGGATGAAGGAGAGATCATAGAAACTATTAAATCTGAAAACAAAAAAGTATTTCCAGGTGAAAATTAAAAAGCCAAATCGTTTATATTATTTTGATGAAATAATTCAGAACAACCTGATTTTAGTAATTATTTTTAACAAATGTATTATTTTGACAAATGAGCCTGAGAAGTCTTGTCTAATGCAAATTTTATACATAATATAAATTTTATTACTACAATTATGATATGGTATTTTCTTTTATTTTTATCTTTTAAATATGTATTATAAATTAAATATTTTATGAACGTAAATGAGTATAATTTATAATTTATTGTAGTATTTTTTATTGATAAAATACTTCTAATTTTTTATATTTAACTTATATTTATAAATATTAGTACAGTGCACGAAATATCTAAAAATGTAATCAATTTTTCGTAATCACAGAAGCGAGAAGGTGCATACAAAAGAAATCTTGTGCTGACAGGTGACCACAGCCTCTCACGCAGAGACTCGTAACAGTCTTTAACAAATAACAATCTAAAACGGCGTTATTTTGACGGAGCCAATTAGTTAGCACTAACCACTGTCCGTTCGCAAAGTGACAAACAATGCAATCGCACCTTCTCGTGGGACCCATCTCCGTCGCACCCTATGGTGGCGCCCTCGATTCCAACGCCTTCCTCTCCGCCGCGCCTTCCACCTGGACCAACTCTTCTCGCCGCCGTATCCCACTCGTTGCAGCCTCCTCTTCCTCCTCCTCATCTGCTGCGGCCATCAACGATGGCCTGAACCACTACGCCGTGCTCGGTGTCACCCGCACCGCCACTGCCGCCGAGATCAAACGCGCATATCGCCTCCTTGCTCGCAAGGTATCTTTCGATTTCGATTTTGGATGACGAAACTGTAATCTGGTTTGGTGCCTCTGAACGAAGCTGTGATAATTTGGAAACATTGCTTGGCGTTTCTTTCTGATTCTGCGTCGTAATATGTCACGAACTGTGATGATGTCCGATTTGATTGGAACAATTGAGGATTATGATATGTGAATTTTGTGTATTTTGATTGTTTGTGTTCTTTTGCATTTCCGTATTTTGTGATTGTTAAAACTAAGACAGTTTCTGTTTCTGGTTAGAAAAAATACAACTATTTTTTGTTGTGCCCTGGTGGATTATATGTGTAAGAATAAGAGGAAATGGTAGGAAATTTCTCAGGTCATAGCCACTGTTACTTATCGTTTAGGCAAATGCATCAGTGGATTTTTGTTGGACATTCACAACTGTGATGATAGTTTTGCAGCCGGTTATTTCTTTTGGCGGATTTGAACTTTAAATGCAACTGTGTAATTTTTTGGATCTCATTACTTGTAGTTGTTTTGTGATTTGTTTATTAAAGGTTAAAAGGCAAATTATGCCTTCATCTTTGACTCCTTGATTTCAGTTTTGACAACTAACCTACTTAAACTTTCAATATGGTCAAATGAAGTCCTTGTGCTATTTGCCAAAGGATCAAAGTTGAAGGGAGTGATACTTTGCCTTATTATATACTGCTCAAATTGTTGTTGTTCAGAGATTTACATGTCTTTATGTTGATTAATTTTTGTACGAAAATAAAATTTTATTCCTAAGAAGGGCTCCTTATTGTTCCCTTTTGCCGAATGATATATGGCTTTATCAGCTTTGATCTAGCATACACATTATGCTTACATTCTCCTGTGCTGTGCCATATGTAGGCTTGCATGCAACATCTGAAAATCTGGTTTTTGACTAGTCTATGTAGCTAACCTCACTTAGCCGGATAAGACTTTTGTTGTTGTTGTTATTTTTCTGCTGAATATACCTTCTGGAAAGAAGTATCTTTGAAATTAATTATTATCCCTATATAGTAAGCAAACATTTCATCTTGTTGATTGTTTTGCCGTGAGTGCAGTATCATCCTGATGTTAGCAAGGATCCACATGCTGCTGAATTGTTCAAGAGCATCCGTCATGCATATGAAGTGAGCAACCGTTATTCAACTTTTCTTGGTATATAGAAATAATTGCCTCTTATCAGGGATTTAATTTCCTTTTTCTTGGGTAAGGAAAGGTTTTACACCTTTTAATAGGGATCATACTGCTACTTTTCAGTTCTACTGGTTCCACAACGATATTTTTTGGTAGAGGCTGAAAAATTAGAATGTAGCTAACTGACATTTGGTAAATGGCTTTCGAAAATGTACTTACAGAGCAAGGTTCGGAAGCAGACTATCATTGTGCTCTCTTTTTCAGTTTTCAAATTCAAAATAAAACTAATACAAAGTGCAAAAAACTTTTTCCTCCAACAAATTTATTGCAATTATTATCTGCTTTTGAATTTTGAAGAATTTTATGACATTCCCCCAAAATTTCTTCTGCAATATAAGGTTTCCTTTTTTCATGTGCTTTGGAGCATATGTACAAATATTAGAAATCCAATGCGGGTATTTACTTTTATTGTATCCTTGAACAGGTACTATCGAATAAAGCAACGAGAAATAAGTATGATCAAGAACTTCAATTTGGTCACAAGCCGTACAGGGAAAAGTGGAGTTACAGCACTGAATTTGAGGATCAGGTAAGAGTCTATAGATGGGCCCACCTGAGGAAAAAAATGCATAGTGAAAGATACTGGGAGCATTACAATGTCAATGAGGGCCACTACAGCCGTGAAACAGATGCGGAGGAAGATGAAGGAAATTTAAATGAAGAGAGGGGTTCTTTTTTTGAAGTGCTTAGATCAGCATTCATGTCACTCTTCTTGTTTCAGACGTTAGGATCCCGACTCTCACTTACATATAGCAGTCTGACAGCATTGTTTGATAAGAAGTTAGACACTGGTTACAAAATTGGTTATGTAATAGCATGGATTTTAGGCGGGAGGGGAGGCATATTGCTAACATTGTGCTTGTCCTTTGCAAGTTGGGTTTGCGGGAAAACCAGTAGTAGTGTAGTTGCACTAGTTATGGTGGCCATGTGGATTGGCTCCTACCTTGCTAGGTACGCACCACTTCCCCAAGGTGCTCTATTAGCGCTTCTCTACATGTCCATTAAGCTACAGTCTGACCTAATTTAAAGGGCATTGCCGCTACTAGCATTTCTTCTGAATCTGTATATGTGGCTATGTTCTTTATTAAGGTGTTTGTACATTATAATAATATATTCCAGTAAATGTAAATAACTGTTGAAAGCTATTTACTGATGATAAGTTACAAAAAATGGTTGATGAGTTGCTATATGCAGAGTTCCATCATGTCCCATATTATACACCTTTGTGTGCAGTAGTGGCATTAAAGGGGAAAATATCTTGAAAATGAAACATAAGGCTTGGGGGAAATGACACTTAAATTAGGTTGCAAAAATTATAAGAAGTTTACAAGTTACTTCCTCATTTACCTACCAAGTATACCAGAAAGACAACAATTTGCAGGCTTCTCAATCACCGTTACTGGGGACGAAAATAAAAGAAAGAATTACAAGCTTCTGTAACAACCAAGTTAAAGAAGTTAGGGGTTGGGGAGTTTTCCTAAGAGCTCTTTACTTCGACATCATTCTTGGACATCAAATTTCTCCATAGATACCTCCCGCTGGCCATGTCAACGAATACCCAAAATCCGTTCTGAATCATCTGAAACCAAAGCAACAATTCTAGTCAGGATTGAAAAGAATAAAATCAAGAATGATGGTGAATCGTATAAAGAAAGTGGAATTGAGGGTACCTTAGTGAAATTGAAATGGTCCTTGTTGGATGAGTATTCCTTGTTGTGGTCTTGGTCGGTGAAGTCACTCTCCGGGGAGGAAACCACGGTGGTCCAGGCAAAATAAGCGGCTAACACGGCGGAGAAAAAGATCAAGATGAATCTGAGAGGACACATGTCTTGCAAGGCAGAAAAAGAACTAAATTTGCAGTAACAGAGAGAGAGAGAGAGAGAGAGAATTGATGACAACCCAAGTAGCAAGTCAAGAATTATTGGGTGGATATTTGCTTTGAGCATGTTGAGGGAGGTTGAGTTGCCTTTATATGGCCTCATTCACTTCTTTAATTGTATCGATGAATTAGTAAAACCGAGGAAAGGCGTGTTGTGTTGTCTGTGCCTTTTGAGACTTTTTCTGTTAGAGCCAGTAATATTTACATTGTCAAAGGGCATCCTTTCTCTTTGGCCTTTGTGCATATTTGACCTTGTACAATGTGACCTTGATGAATAGAAAAATAGACAATTTAACAACAATGTAGCAGGTGAGCTGGAACCCCAGTTCTGAAGGAAATCTTCTAGATACTCCAAACTTGACCAAATCTTCTAGATGGCATTTCTAGACAACCACATATATCTTCACATTGTAAAGACCCCCTCACAGTCGTTGAACTCAATCTTGCAAAACCCATATCATTATGATTTGATTAAACAAAGGCAAAAATAATGAATCGTTTTTAACTATCTTTATGGAAAGAATGAATGAATTGAATTGAATTTTTAAGCCATACGTAGTTGATGAAAACATAAAACAAGAATGCCAATAAACATTCTCAAATATGTTGCTCAATAATTAATTTGCGCCATTTAAACTAATCAAAATGTAAATTATTACAGGAATTAAGTATTTGTAAGAAAGAGAACAGGGATCTATTGAAATTAGTATAAATTAAAATTTTACAATTTGTAATTATTTTATGTTTCACTATCAATAATTTCTTTCGGTGACTATGTTTTGGTAATATATTCTTTTCAAATATATCAGAGTATGAATTATTTGATTATATATTTATTGTCGAGAAGTCTATCAGATTTCAAACATGTAAGTAATCATAGTATGATCATAATATGGACAAAGTTACAATCGATAATCTGATCTTTAAAAATATAATTTTTTATTTTAGTTGCTATAAAATTTTATTCATTTTGAATCTCTATATTTAACAAAAATGATATTGGTTTTATCCATTGTCAATCACTAAAGATTCAAGCATATAGTTTTTATAGTTTTAAAGACTAAAAATAAATACAATTTTTTTTATGGCTAAAACTAGAAAATGTCTTTTTTTTTCAAAAACTAAAATATATATTTAAGTCAACATTAAAAATAACTTACTAAAATGACTTTTTTAAGACTTGATTTATGACAAACATAATGACAGAGTTTGATTCATAAAGTTAATCTCATCAAGTGAATTGTTAACATCAACATTTAAGATTCATTTTAAGCAACTAAAATAATAATAAATTTTTATTGAAACGTATTTATTACACACTTATTCTTTGATATGAGTACATTCTTTTTAATAAAAATATTATCATCTTTAGTTGCTTAAAATAATTCCTAAGAGTTGATAATTTTTTATTCTTTTAAAATGCTCTTATTTTATGAATAAAATTTGTTCAGCATCATAATCCGAAACCACTGAAGTTAAAATTTATCTATTTCAAATTAAAAACACGTTATTAATTAAGAAAAAAAAGTTTTCTTCTCAAATTTTCGTCCTAAGTAAGTATTATTATTACAACCTTAATTGTATTTCTTTTTTTGGTCAACAACCCTAATTCTCTGTTGGCAACTGGCTAGAGTAAAGGATATATATGAACTAAGTTTATCACCTAAAAAAGCAAAATAAAGTGGGCTAGTTTGGATATACTCGTTGGTTCAGAGCACATTTTGTTGAAAAAAGAAGAAGGGGTTTTTCACATTTTATGGACCTAAAGAAAAAACTTCTTAATATTTCATGCTACTTTCGGCCACTCAGGGTTCACTTTACTAAAAAAGGATTTTTTGGGTCGCGGGGCTATTCTGGGTTTGGGAGAGTCTGTTAACCCAAAAAAAAAAAAAAAGCTTTAAACAATCGATAAAGTTGACCAAAAAAATTATCCTGTTGACTCAAAAAAATAGTCATCCTAAACTGTAAATAAGTAATTTTATTTTAAAATAATAATAATAATAAAATATAAAAATTCAAAATTTAAAAAAAATTAAAGATAATGGATAGATTTTTTTTTTTTGAAAAGTTAGGAGTAGATAAAATAGAATAAAAATTATTTAGAAAATAAAAAACAAAAATCAAAGATGATAGGTAGATTTTTTAGACGGTTAAGTGAGTGGATAAGATGGTGGATAAAATATTAGGATAGTTATTAAAAAATATATGATAGAAGAGATAATAGAGATTTTAAAAATAAATAATTAAATTAATTAATAATTAAGAGAATATATAAATAAGAGGAGGTGTTCTCAAGAAAAAAAAGAAAAAAAATAAAAAGGAAAGAAGAAATTTAAAAAAATTGAGAGAAATTCATTATTCTTATATTACACATTTTTAAAGAAAAACAATATTAAAGAGATTGAAAAAGAAAAAATAACATAGTGAATAAAACAAAAACAAAAGTTAAAGAGCAAGCAATAGTATCTAACAAAAATATATCAAGTAACAATATTTCTATCTTTTATTTGTACTGTATATTGACAATTTTTTTCACACATTTTATTTTTATTATTTATTGTTTCTTTTTTTTTTAAGTACAATAATAAACTTTAAATCATAAAACAAATCAAGTAACTTTTTTTTATCCGATTTAATTTAGATCTGACCTGAGTTGCGCATTTAGATGTGATAGGTGAGTTTACTACTAGAAATTTTTTACATACATATTAAGCAATTTTTTTAAAAGTGTAATTTTTCTTATGTTGTACTTTTTATATTTTTCTCACTCTCATTCTTACCTTATTATTTGTTTTGACATTTACTCTAACTCTTTTTTTTAGTTCTTTTCCTAGACACAAATAAAAACTAGCATGAGTTTTTCTATTTTAAAAATAAAAAATTGAAATTCTTTTAAGAAACAAAAATAAAATTCTTTTGTTATTATTGACCTATTAATCTCTCAAAATTTATTCCAATTTTTTTTATACATCGTTGTGTGTTCTCTCATTGTTGTCTTTTTTATTTGTTTGTAGATGTGTATTTTAAAATTGATTTATGCTATTTTTTTATTTTTTTATAATAATAAATGATAATTAAGTTTTTAAAAATTTGAATCTAATGTCAATTCAAAATTAAAAAAAAAGGAATTTGAAAGAAATTTTTTTATTTTATATCTTTTGGGTTTTCTGTTTAAATTTTCTTTTTCCTTTCTCTTCAATTTTTTAATGATAGTAATAATAATACACAAGAAAAAATATATGTAAATAATTAAGATATTACGCATATTTATTCATTTATATACCTTATTTTTGTTATCATTATATTTTATCATCATTGTTATTATTACTAATATTGTTATTTTTCTTTACATCTTATAAATAAATTATGTCAATAATTTCTATGAAAAATCATGATTTCTGTGGATGTATAAATTTTTTTTTAAAAATTCTTTAAAAATAAAATAAAAAAATAGATATTATTTATTTTTCAAAATAGCTTTGAAAAAAAATGTGATAAAGGTATATCACTATAAAAAAAAAACTAAACAATACAAAAATTAAAAACTCACATAAATTAAAAATAAATCAATTATAAAGCATAATGAATAATCATAAGTCAATCAAATTTATGAGTATATCATCATTAAAATAAAATAAATGCAAACAATGATAATTTTTAAAAAAATGGAGTCCTAATATAAAAATGTAATTAAAATAACAGAAAGAGAAAAAAAATCAAAATTCATATTAACTTCTATAAACGTTTGTTTAACATCACGAGCCTAACTTATCATTCTCTAAGTTAAGTAGGATAATAAAAAAAAACTTAGTTTGATAAGATCCAAGCTACATTGACTATAACTTTCTTAATTTTGGAAGAGAAATATTAAAGATCCAGTTTGAGAAAGTGTTTGTTTGATTATTCAACTTTTGTCTTGTTGAGCTCCTCTTATATTTCAGCTTGCTTATGTCCTTCCAAGTCCACTTACTCGGTTTAATAAATAAGATCATGAGCCTTTTTTTTTTCTACACTCTCTTGGTGATTTATGCGGTTGTTCCCAAGCTCTAATAACCTTTTTAATTTATCTTATGTACATAGATTATGTGCAGAAGAAGAATCAAGAGTACATAGAGTATCTAAAGTAGAAATAGAAAAAAATAATTATCATGAGTATATTGGTATTTCTAGAAATCAAACATTTTAAACACAACTTTTTCATCATTTAGTCTCATAGTCAGCTTTTCCTGTTACACACTAATGAGTGTCTTGGTTGTGGCTAAGAAAGGTTTTCTCAGGATCATGCAATTATGAAAGTCTTCTTATCCATATGTTACCTTAATGCTCATAGAAAGCAATAAAATAAATAAGAACATTAAGAAACATTAGATTTGTTAAACTCAATTAACTAATTAGAAGTTTAGGTGATAGATTGATTCATTTAACCCCTAAACCCAAATTACCTCTTTATTTCATTAACCTATTAATGGTACGATTGTCCATCAATTGATTAACTAGAATTTATCCTTAAGTAACCAATTCAAGAATAATAGTAACATTAAAAAGGAAAATATAATTGACAAATAACATCACTATCATAAAATCAAAATAGGGTTCAAAAGGAATTACTTCACAAGAATTCACTTTAGCCACATGGCAAGAGAGATTTAATTATACATAGTCATAAAGATGCAAACAAAGATAATTAAACACAAAGCATCCATAATAACAAATAATAAAGAAAGAAAAATTCTTGTGACTAATCTACTCTAACCAAAGTATAATTTTGTGATAGAAAATGAGAGAAGAAGATGAAGAGAGGGATCGGTCAAGTCTCAAGTATGTAAGACCCTTTATATAGAATGTAGAATAAAAAAGATATAACTTGACCACCAAAACACATGATTTATTCATAAAAATATATATAATTTGCTTTTTTCATATCTAAATTTACAATTTAAAATCTATATTCAAATTTACTTATTATTTGCTTTTTTCAACAACTTTTCTTTTTATATATAATTTGACATTCTTTAACAAGGTTGTGTTATTACTACTTCCTACTATAAAATCAAAAGAAACTTAACAAATTTAAAAGATTAAATAACTATTCTAATAAAAAAATAGATTAAATCTTATAAATAAATCTGACTAAATGATTGTTTATTAATTTTCAATATATTAAAAATCTCGTACCAATAAAGAATCACCAAACTGAAATTTACTTATATATATATATATATATAACACATGAAATCGAGAATAAGGTAAATATTGTCAAGTATAGTTTTATATATCTACCTATTGTTTCTTAATCTTAAAAGTTCTCTGTGTAGATGTAATTTGCTAAGTAATTATTTGTCTTATGAATAGGGTGCAACAAAATGCATCTTTGTTACATGTTGATATAGGTTTATCTTTATAGAAAATGCTTGATGAGTATACAGTACTTGATCTTCCTAGTGCTTACGAGGTTGTTGCATTAATAGTTAAAGATATTGATGATATAGTATTATTGATAAAAACATTATATTATAGACAAAGTCCAAGTATTTTAAGAGAGAAGATGTTTTATATTTGTTATATCTTGAATTCCAATACTTGATGAGTACACTATCGTTTTTGCATGAGAAAATTTCTTTCTCTTCGTAAAATAAAAACAAAACTCTATTATTCACATTATTATACCATTTTAACGCTAATAAATTTGGTTGATATTTACTCATTTATTAGTTAACAAGATCTATAGATTAATAAAATATTTTTAATTCATGTTTTGAATATAAACTTATTAAATGTAAATAAAAAAATATAGACTTGCCAAGTAATAAATATAAATAAATTTTGGAGAAACATGTAAAAATATTGATTAATTGAGAAGTGTAAGGATGATGGGGGTAGTAATAGAAAAGGTTGAAATAGAAATAGTAACTTGTAGAGGAATTGTCAAGTGAAGCAACATGCATGAAAATTCCCAGGAAGCAAAGAATAATGCTAAGAAGAAATTAAATTACTATTATAATATGCTGAAGATGAAATTCCATCTGAGAATTGGAATCTACTGCATTCTCCAATCTCCATTACAAGAACAACACAAGAACATGATAGATTCCAATTCTCTTTCACAAGCATTTAAATAAATTCAGATTCTTATATTGGCATTTGAGAGATCAAATCTATCTATGTCAATTATTTGACCCTTTTACCACAAACAATTTTTTGTTTTCAGTTCTTTTATTTTTTATACAAGTGAGACGCGATTTGAACTAAAGGTATGAGAGGAGCGAAATAAATTGAAAAAGAAAAAGAAAAAACATCAATATGTATAATTTACTATATTAATTTTTAAATGAGATTATTTGTAGGAGTTAGTCATAATTTTCATTCTAGGTGTTTTTTAAAAATATTTACCTTTTAATTTAATATAAAATTAATTTATATATCTATATTATGAATATTAATTTTTAAATAAGAGTATTTATAATCATCATTTTATATAGTTTTTTATATTAAACAATTATTTTTAAAATTGTATTAAATTAATTTTTAATTTAAATTTTCATCTATTTATTTAATTTTATTTAATATAACATTTATTATTTAAGAATTCGTATTTAGAAATTATGTAGAGAGGTTGAGATGTAAAGTTATATTAAGTAAAAATATTTTTAATTAAGTTTTTTTTTAAATTTTGATACGAAATTTTTCTCACATTTAATACTTAGTATTTCGTATTTAAATTTTATATAAATTTTACATTTTTAACTTGAAAATCTTATTTTTAAGTTTTTTACACATTATCTTCAAAATTAAATCCTATTGATATAATAAATGTTAATTATTATAATAAAATTATTAACTCTTTTAAATTTATTAAATTAAAAATACATAT